GAATCTGCCACTCAACGCAAGCTATCTGCATTTCTGGCTTATCCAATCGCAATTTGCACAACTATAATATAGTAGCTGAAGGGCATTTTTACCTTAAATTTATACCATCAAATCCATAATCCTGGTTATGCAGGATTGCAAAATTCAGGACGATAGGCTGGCATGGGTCCCATGGTCAAAAGCAGAGCCCAGACAGGAACCCAGGTTTTTGGCTCCCCAGCAACCCCACAACCCTTACAGGTCACCCCTTTCCCATGAAATTGGTTCTGACAGCTAGAGAATGAGTAGGCTTTTCTGCTATACAGAAATGGCTTTGTCTCTGGCATTTATCCGAGCAGAAAACTAAACATTCCAAAAAGGTTTTTATCACACTAGGAACCAATTCATAATAGCAATTAACCTGAGGTTTGAGGAATAACATCATCAGGAACAAAACGACTACAAGGACCACATAATTTTCAGTTAAAAAATGCATACAACAGTACAGCAAAACCTTAATTCTGAGCCCATTAAATGAAAACTTGTGTACAAACAGTGGCTACCCCCATGCTCCTTTGTTGGTCAGATGAAATGTCAAGATGTAATTGCTTCACTGACTTAAGAGCACAAGCAGGTCCTCAGTCATTTCAACAGGGCCTGCTCTACAGGGCATATGAGGCCTATGAACTCTCAGGCACAGAGTGAGAGCTGAGGCCTTGGTCCTATAGTCACTCAGTCCTGGGTTCAAATCCCAACTAGAACATTTGCCAGAGGTGTGACCTAGTGCCTCAGTTTCCCCATATGTAGAATGAGAGAAGCACAGCCAAGCACAGCCTTCACCTAATCAGACTAATGAGAAGGGGATGCGAGGGGAATGCTGAGCATTTTTCACATTTTTTCCTTGTGGTGTAGGGGATAGAATCCAGGGCCTTGAGCATGGTAAGCAAGTGCTCTACCACTGAGCCATAAACCTAGCCCCAATAATGCTTTTATTGGTCCTTAGTTTTGATTTCTGTATGTACATAAAAATAATAAAGCCCAGGTTTACATAAAAATATTTCAGATGCCTGTAATCCCAGCTACTCAGGAGGCTGAGGCAAGAGGATCGCAGTTTAAGGCCAGTCTGGGAAATTTAGCAAGACCTTATCTCAAAAAAAAAAAAAAAAAAAGAGGAAGAAGCAGGTTGGGGATGTAGCTCAGTAGGAAAGCACCCGTGGATTCAATCCCCTCTACTGTAGAAAAAAAAAATTCAGATAGGTTGGCCACACCCCACATAGGTTGGTGTGTATTAGGAAGGGGTGAGATGGGGACCCAAGATGTGGCACCTCACCTGGTATTCCTCCTCTAGGCGTGACAGCAGCACAGCCTGCTCCACAGTCAGGTGTAGGTCAATCAGACCCAAGGTCAGCACCATGGACTTGAGTTGGGCCACTACAAACTCAATCCCTGCAGGGACACAAACCACATCAGGATACAAAACAGGGCAGTTGCTACAGCCTAATTCCTTGTGAGTCCTTGCACCTTTTATAAGAATAGGAGTAAATGGGGCAAAGGTGCCAGGAGTGGGAGATCGACCCAGGGCCCACCTGGGATTTAGCCCACTCTTCTGGCCTTCCTCGAGGTGACCCACCTCTGCTCGTCCCTGGGTGAGAACATGACCTGATCCTTGCTAATCAGTATATCTCCCCCAAACTCCTACCCAATGACTTGTTTCACAGATGGTCGGGCCAAGGAGATGAGAACTTGAGGCTTCTGTTGGAAAATAGAAACCCTACTTTCTGCTGGAAGGGTGTGAGCCTGGAGCTGAGCTAACGGGGTGGTATCACTTGTATCACACCTGCCCTCAGGCCCATGGAACCTCAGTGCATACCTTGTAAGGCCCACATGTTGTAAGATGCCAGGTGGCTGGTGAGCACCTCCTGCGTCTGTGCAGGGATGCTAGGTCCCATTATGCTGGTGGAGGAGCCAATCTTCACACCATATCTGAAAGGAAAAGGCTGCAACATGTCCCTGGCATGCTGTGTCCCAAAAGTAGCCCAATTTTTCACTGCAAGCAAACTACTGAGTATGTATATACCCCTTCAGGGCATGTGGTCAAGGGGCTAGTCTTAAGGACTCTGGAAGTAACGTCCCCTATGTGGCCTCCTGGCCTAATTTTCTAACCCTCAAAAGCAAAGAAAAGCAAGCAAGAAACGACCCTAAATGAAGTTGCATTGCTGATTCCTGTGAACAGGAGCTCAGTTAGGTGCAGGGACCTGAAACACTAACTCAATTGCCTGGAATCTTCATCAAACGTGTAGGTAACCTGTTCTTTAAATCTTTAAAAAAAAACTTTTGCACATTTGAGGCCATAAAAGATTTCTTTTAAATAGCATTTTCCTTAAAATAATGTTTGTATATGTCCTGTATCGCTCAATTATTTTTTCCATATATTAAGACTCTACAGTATTCAAGGCTTTGGTTTTCATCTGTGATTTCGGAGTCATGAACTGACTTCAAGAGAAGAGGCATGTTCAGGAATAATCAACAACAGGCTGGGGTGTGGTTCAATAGTAGAGGCAGCACCTAGCATGCATGAGGCTCTGGGGTCCAGCAAACACACACACACACACACACACACACACATCATAAATATATAGAACATAGGAAAAACATACATAATGGAGTAAAAATAATTTTTGTAATTCTTTCATATATCACTGGATTTTTTCTATTGTTTAAAAAATATCCCTACAAAATTTCTAATAATACAGACTGAATGTAGGAAAAGGCTAGATTTTTCTGGGAACTATTAAAGATTGGATATCTCAACTGCCACAAACACTTGATGATTCTGTACTACTGCAAAGATCTCCAGGCACCTCAATTAGTGTTATTCTAAAATGGCACTATATTGTCACATTTCTTTTAACATAACTGCTACATTTTATCTGCTCCTAGAGAATTCCAGTTCTGCCTTTCCCTTTAAAACCTACTGTGAGCACACAGGAAACATGTAGCAGATGAATGTGACAGACTGGTGGAATGGGACAGACTGCTGAACCTCATCAAAAAAATACAAGATACTATGGATAAGGCCGTGCCATGGACATCAGCCCTTCCACATGTCTCTTGAAATGAAATGGAATTTATTTTGCCACCACATCAATATCTATTCAATTTTGCACTCAAGAGTCTTCCTGTCAAGAAAAAATATTGGGTATCATCAATTCCAAATCCACAGGATGTTACCTATAATTTTGTAGAAAACTACCCTGATTTTTCTCCATGTGTATACATAATCTTACAAACAAACTGTTTAGTATAGTATATACACATAAATGTATAGTAATTGCATTTACTGTGTGCCCTGCAGGACGCTAAGCACTACCTTTATCACTGACTCTTCCTGACACCTTGAGGTAGGAAAGACTAACCCCATTTACAAACAAGGAAATTGAAGATCAGAGAGATCAACTTACTAGTCCAAAGTCAAATGGCTAATAGTGGCAGAGCTGGGACTCAAACCAACACTGCTGGTCTGACATGTGTAGGAAGGGGGCCTGGGGTCTCTGGTACTTCCTAAGGACCCAGAGTTGCCCCTATGAGATACAATATGCTCTGTAATAGGTGCTCAGTGAATGGTGACTGACATGAATTTGAGGAACATATTTTTCCAAGGGGACCCTATCCCCAGACATCTAATGGGAGCTGACTTCTAAGGCACTCTGAACTCAGAAAGCTGGCTAGCTAAGGGCATTGGGTACCTGGGACACCTGCCAGCATGCTGCCCAAACCAGGCCCACTCAATGTTCTCTGTGGGGCTGTGCATCTTACCTTTTCTCGGCCCATTCTATGATTGGATCCCATTCATTCTTTTGAAGTTCCACTAATGTCTCTGGCTTTTCCACTCTGTAGCTAATTCATTGTAAAAAATCACTTAATAAAAAAGTACAATTCCGACATTCAGTGATAGAAAAGGAAGAACACAGGGCAACAGCAAAACCATTTCCACCACCAATCCAGTGCCCCAAGTCTTGTCCCCTAAAGCCGTGGTTCTCCAAGTGTGGGCCTAGGGCCAGCAGCATCGGCCTTCCCTGGGTACTTGTAAGCAAAGTACATTCTCAGGCCATTTCCCATATCTACTGAAATCAGACCTTTGGGGTGGGGCCCAACATTTTAGAAAACCTTCTAGGGCATCCTAATTTAAGTTTGAGTTTGTGAACCACCGTCCTGAATACTCCCCAATATTTTGACAGGTCCAAGTTTGCAGTACCACATTAGTGTTAATGGAAAACAGATGCAACCTAATAATTGCAACCTGGGATCCAGAGCCACTGGATATGAACACTATGCCAGCAACTCAATAACAGCATCCCTGCCTTCCCCCTTCCAAGACACCGTGCTCTTGGCCACAGGACCACAGGAGCCCACCCACCTCTTGGCATGGAGGCTTGACCAGAGAAAACCAACCTAGAAGCCAGGCTGTGCCACTTGTTTAAACCAAGGGATGCAGAGATGAGTCAGTTGAGGGGAGCTGAGCTGCAAAGCCTCATGGGACAGGAACCCCAGGGGGCACTATGGAAAGTCACATTCTCATGTAAGCAGAGGGAAGCAAAGAGGTCATGAGTGTGTGGAGGAGCTGGGCTTCTTGCTAGGAGGTGCAGATGAGTGGAGGGACTTTCCTGCCTCTACCCAACCCACAACCAGCAGGAGATGGTAGGAGCTCTGGCTTCTAGGATCCTCAAGCTGTTTCCCTGGTGGTTTGATATTCCTTCATTTCTGTCAGGACTCCTGTACAGTTTTCAAGAACCTCCCCTTTTGGGGGGTCTGAAGATTATATCCCTAGCACCCCACACACACTTTTTTTTTTTTTTTTTTGGTACTGCAGAGTGAATCCAGAGGCACTTGACCACTGAGCCACATCCCCAGCCCTTTTTGTGTTTTGTTTAGAGACAAGGTCTCATGAGTTACTTAGGGCCTCACTAAGTTGCTGAGGCTGGCTTTAAACTCGTAATTCTCCTGCCTCAGCCTCTTAAGCCTCTAGGATTACAGGCATGCACCACCATGCCAGCCATATTTATCCCTTTTTATTTTTGAGACAGGGTCTCGCTAAGTTGCTGAGGCTGGCCTCAAATTAAGTGATCCGCCTGCCTCAGCCTCCCAAGTCATTGGGATTACAGGTGTGTGCCACCACACCTGGCAAGAATGCTTTTTTTCCCTGAGCTAAGTTGAATGTTTTTGTTCTGCTTCCTGCACAATTAGCCAAATATCACTGGCCAATTAGTCAAAGAACATAGACACAAATGGAGAATTGAGAACTAGAGGAGTTTAGATCCCGACTATCACCATCTGTAATGGCAGGGAAGCCAACCCAAGAATGTGCTAGTGGGCACAAGTCAGGGTCAGAGACCCTGGTGGGGACTGGCAAGCGAGCTATGGTGCTGGAACCTGTAAGAGCTACATGCACCTCCTCCCTGCCGACCCCAACCCAAGGAACACTCCATGTTCTAGTAGCCTGAGAAGTCTTCCTCCTAAGGATCTGCAGAGCAGCTGGGGCCAGTCAAATAAGCTGGAACAGGAACCTGTCCACCTTGTGAGGATACAGGAAAGGGCCTGCCTCTTCTACCAAGAACTCTCTGGGCAAATGAGTCAAAATAGCCCAGGGGACTTGCATGGCCCAAGGGGACTGCTCATCTAAATGTCAATTACCAGAGGGTGTCAGTGTCCAGAAACTTCACAGCTGCCTGGATCAGCTGATCCTTGTTGCGTTGGGTTGGGTTGTCCAAGGATGTGTTGCACAATGTGGTCTGAATCAAAAGCAGAAAGTGCCCCATCACCACCTGCCAGTCCCAGACAAAAGCTCTGCTCTCCTGAGGACACTCCATATGATGCAGCAGAGTGAGAACCAAAGTGTTCTCAACCCCAAGTGTTTTCAGAGGCCTGGCAGCAGCATATTCATAGAGAGCATCCAAGAGCCAGGACCCATGCTTAAAGCTATGTGTGTGCTCAAAGGGACTCATGGGACTCTCATAGCCCTGGATTAGGGAATGTCCCCAAGGTCTCCTGCTCTTTATTGCCAGGCTCTGCTATGTTTAACTTAATCCCACAACAACAATTTGGAGCAGGTACTATTATACCCATTTTAAAAATGTGAAAACTGAAGCAAAGAGAGGTGAAATACATCCTCAGATACAATAAATAAGACATGTAAGCAATCAGAAAACTCAAAGCATTTACCAGATGGCTCCCATAACACCTTAGAAAGAAAAAAAAAATGATCCAAACGGGGATCAAGATTATTATGCCAGGTTTGCCTTACCAACAATAGGTTTCTTAAGTTACTCAAACTATTTGTTTGTAGCCCTAACACCCTCATTTCATCAGACAGCCAGAGAGCAGGTGCTAACTCAGAGGGCTGTGATGTTGCGGGGAAGCCCCCTGAGTTTGTATGTCAAGCAAACAATGACCACGATGAGAACAACTAACTCATATTGACTGAGTGCCTGCCCTACTTCAAGGACCATGCTAAGTGTTTTCTATGTGTTATCTCATCACAATCCAGCCCACAACTCTGGGGTGGGTTCTTTTACCACTCATCTTTTACAGATGGGGGACATGGTGCCCAAGGTCACAATGTGGGGGCTACAGAGGCTGAACCTAATGAGTCTGGCAGACTCTGTTCCCTCCTCTGCCACCCTTGTGCCTCAGTGATCCACCTGTGTGTGGATTGGGGGCTATCTCTACACAGAGTCTTCCTCGTCTTACCTACCTGCCTTTCTGGTTCCTGCACCCAACCAATATTTTTTGGTACCATCTAAACTTCCTGTTGGAGCTCGTGAATAAAAGAGACATGGCCCCTGCCGACGTGCAGCAGAAGAGAGAGACAATAAACATGCAAACATAAAGCAGATCATTACACACTAAGTGCTGAGGAAACAAATGGCCAGCTGCTGTAATAAATGGCCAGCTGCTAGAATCAAAAATAAGAGAGCTGGACAGTCAGCAAAGGTGACATCTGTCCTGAACAGAGGAGGAACAGGCCACCTAGCATGGTGTTCCAAGCAGAGGGAACCGCAGTTGTCCAGGCCAGATAGAGAAAGAGGTTGGCCTATTCGATGACTGAGAGAAGGTGAGTGTGGCTGCAGCCCAGGCCCACAGAGGCCTATCCCCAGGGACATGTCACAATTTGAAAAGGGGTCTGAATCTTGCCAGGTAGTCTGGAAGCCCCTCACAGGTGTCAAGGTGTAAGCTGGTGCTGTGAACTTGTTACCAGGTGCATGGTGTAGAACTTGATGGTATCCTGCTGGGAGTCCCATTCGGTGGCCACTGCGATAGCCAAGGCCTCATTGGGGACCGTAAAGAGCTTGGCTTGGGGAGTTTTCAGCTTCCTGTGGTCCAGATTTATCTCAAAGCCACCTTGAAAGATCAAATAAAACACTCTCAGGGATTGTGAAGTGGAATCGGGTAACCATTCCTAATTTTAGCCACTTGAATTGATGCAAAGACAACTCTGAGTCCCTTACAGAAACGTATCTGACAAAAGTGCGAAGGATAATCTCGCCACTGAACCAGCTGGAGATGAAAAATGTTTCCAACCATTCACACAAAAAAAAAAAAAAAAAAAGGAGGCCGTCAAAATTTTAGACACTCACCTTCACCCTGTGTGATGCTGACATTCTGATAAAACCTCTTCCTTTCTGTAAGAAAGATTTTTTAGAAAGGCATTTAAAATAACGTCAAGTGGGCTCACAGGGCTATAAGACCAGCTTGCACCATTACTGCTAATGCTGATTGATTGCCTTGATTTTCATATCACCATTCAAGGTCTGCCCTACTCTGCAGTGTAATCAACGACTTCTGATTAAAGCTGGGGGGGAGGGAAGCATCTGCTCTCTAGAGATGAGGAAGGAATGGGACATGCTGGTCATGCCTCTGCCAGTCTCCCAGCCCAAGGGCAAGTCTGATCAGGGGCTTCTTGGAGCTGCAGACTGTGTGACCTGACAGATTTCCAACACCTTCTGCTTTAGATAACAAGTACGCTCACCACCACCTCCCGCCCTTCTGGGACCAGCATAACACAACCAAATCTAAAGTTGGTGTCTAAAGCCAGAGTCTTTCAGACAAGACTCTGATGTCTGTAAGAAGGAATAACTGAGAAGCCAGAGTGTGTGCACATGTGCGTGTGTGTGGTACGCAGGCAGAAAGTAAAGCTCCCAGGAGCATTTCCCATCTTCCCTCTCCAATTAATTAACCTAATTAACCAGCTTGCTTGTGTATTCAACAGGAACTTTAAACATTTCCTTCAAGAATGGGGAAAGTCTGTGTTCTATGTTTTCTTTATGAAAATTCTGAAAAACCTGGTATGTATGCATACTAGGGGGAAAGGGTAATGGAGAGAAGGCATGTGGTTTTACTCCAAACATATTATTTTTAGGTTTTCCACATCATATTGGTTATTTAATTACATCTCATTTGTCATTGTTAATCCTTAAATATGGAAAAACCAAAACTGCATTTCCATTGTGACTTATAGTAAACTTATGGGCCAAAGTTTTTCCCACAAAACTATGTCCACTATGTGTCAGATGCTATTCTAGGCACTCAGGATATAATAATGACTAACAGATAAAAATCTTTGTCTTTTTTTTTTTTTTTAAGTTGATCAGATCTGGCTGCCCAGGTGATCTGGCACAATTTACCACTCATCTGAAATCATAACACTGATCCTATCACACATTTGACACCAAAATAGGATTCTACCACCGCAGAGTTTTTTAGTTTCCCTATCTTATCTGGTGTCTGGTCTTATTCAAATTGCAGGTTAGACATGGGTCTGAGGCCTTCTTTCCTGTCTTTGGTCTGTATCAAGGTATCTAGGCTATGTCCCTTGTGTTTTCTGATGCCCTGGCTGGGCAGTGCTCTGACTCAACACTGGGAAGGATTTTCCCTAAGTAAGCAGGAAGTGCCAGCTGACAGTGCCACATGCCAGTGAGCACACAAACACACTGCCCAGTGCAGGTCTGGGAAATGGGCCTGAGACTGGCACTAGAGGAGTAAACCGGGGCAGAAGTTGACTGAACAGGGCTGAACCTCCAAAAACTGCTAGGGCATCTGAGTTTCACATAAGAGAAGTTTTGTTTTGTTTTTTTTTAAATTTTTTTAAAAATATCTATTTTTTAATTGTAGTTGGACACAATACCTTTATTTATTTATTTTTAATGTGGTGCTTAGGATCAAACCCAAGGCCTCGCATGTGCTAGATGAGCACTCTACTGCTGAGCCACAATCCCAGCCCAAGAGAAGTTTTTTTTTATTCTGTTCTGCTGTCCAGCTTTGCTGTATCTGAATGAGAAAAAACTGGAATGGAGTAGGATGAATTAAGGGCAGGGAAGGAAAGACCAAAACTGCTCAACATGGGAGAAAACCACACAGTAAAGAGATGGAAGAAGGGCAAAAGGAGCCCAAAGGCTCCTAGTCCTCAGATTTGAAGACAGGTACATGTGTGGTCATGTTTCAGATGGGGTTCTTCTGAAAAAAGAACTGACATTCAGAGAGGCACACTCCAGTCTTGAAGTATACTTCAGTGAGTACTGATCACTGTCCAGGATATGAGACAGTCCTGGGGATGGGATGTGCCCTTGAGGCTCTTACTGTCTAGTGGAGACACTAAACCAGGCACAATGATGAGAGCACATGGGATGACAGACACACAGACTGAGGAAGGCTGATCTTATCCTGGGCTGCAGGAAGATCTCCAAGCAGTCAGATTTCATCTGTGACCCAAAGAAGAAGCAGGAGTTACCAAAGCTCTTGACTGATTTGTTTAGGGAGGACGTGTGTGGAAACAGTTTCCAAAACTAGAAATAACTTGCATGAAGGTGCAGACCTTCAAGATAGCACCGAGGTTAGGAGAACTAAAAAGATGATCAGAAGAAGACTGGAGCTGTCCAGCAGAGAATGGTTAGAAATGTCCAGAGAGGGTGGTGGAGGCCAGACTTGCAGAGACAAGGGGACTTGTAAGTCACAGTAAGGAGAACAAAGACAGCCAAGTAAGGAGTTCATACAGGCAAAGATGAATGGAATCTGGACAATTCATCTGGTGGGATTCATGAGACCCAACAACGTCAAAAAGACAGAGACTATTCACCTAGGCTCTCAAAGGCCATGGGTCACATAAGACAAGCTGGGAGCCTAGGAAGCTTCCAAATGCTCATTGAATACATGATTAGCTGCCATCAACAGGAATGCTACCTTTAAAGACAAAAGAAACAGCAAAGCTTTGTAGGATCCTACAGAATCAGGATATACATTGAGTATGAAAGGTCCCTTTACAGACATCTGTGGCAAAAACATACACACTGCTTTTTCAGAGACAGTTTTGTGTACTATGTAGATGCAAAGAAATTGGTATGTGAAACAATGCTGAATTTAAAAAGATGGCCACAAGAAAATAGGTTAGTTAAGCAGAGAATAACTGTTAAAACTGCCCCTATGAAGAGGGATGAATGGGAGATTATTGTCCTTTTGGGTTCCTCTTTCCTGTGAAGTTGCTGTAATCCACAGAGAGACAAGCAGTCTTCTGTGTCACTTCCCCATACAAACCTCTTATCTTAGTCTTTATGGACCAGTGAGTGATCTTTCTGCGAGTCACAATTTCCAGGATGGCCTTTTCTTCAGAAATATTCAAAGCCTCAGGAACTACAACTACCACAATGCCCCAAGAAGAGGAAGTGCTGGTCTCAGAACTGTGGCAACATCTTTTATCTTTTAAAACAGTGCCATCTGGTGGGCCTTAAGCCTCAAAGCTGAAATTTTAAATCTAGACATCCCTCCATCTGTAACCCTGGGACAGTTCCAACCAGCTGTTTTCAGGTATCAAAATTCTTCAGTTAAAATTATATAAAGAAATCCTTCAACACAATAACAAAAACGTAAATAACCCAATTAAAAATGGCCAAATGATTTGAATGGATATTTCTTCAAAGAAAATACACAAATGGACAAGTACATGAAAAAATGCTTGCTCTCATTAGTCATCAGGGAAATACATATCAAAACCACTTCACACTTTTATGATGGCTATAATAAAAAATTATGCAGGGGCTTGGATTGTGGCTCAGCGGTAGAGCGCTCGCCTAGCATGGGTGGGACCCCGGGTTTGATCCTCAGCACCACATCAAAATAAAGGCATTGTGCTGTGTCCATCTACACTTAAAAAATAATTTTTTTTAAAAAAAGATATGCAATAACAAGCATTGTCAAGGATGAAGATAAATTGGAACCCTAATATTGGAGATGTAAAATGGTACAGCCACTTTATTTTTTTTTATTTTTTATTTTTTTAAAGAGAGAGAGTGGGGGGGGGGGAGAGGGAGGGAGGGAAGGAGGGAGGGAGAGGGGGAGAGAGAATTTTATATTTATTTTTTAGTTTTCGGCGGACACAACATCTTTGTTTGTATGTGGTGCTGAGGATCGAACCCGGGCCGCACGCATGCCAGACGAGCACGCTACTGCTTGAGCCATATCCCCAGCCCGATACAGCTACTTTACAAAACAGTCTAGCAGGTCCTTAAAAAGTTAAAGGGTTACCATTTTACCTCGTAATATACTTTAGGTATATACCTATGAGAAATAAAAACTCACACAAAATTTTTACACAAATGTTTACAACAGCATTATCCATAACAAATAAAGGACAGAAATAACCTACATGTCAATAAATGGATGAATGGATGAAAAAAATGTGGTATACTTGAACAACAGAATGTTACTTGTCAATAAAAAAGAATGGAATATTAATATGTGATATGACTCAGATAAGCCTTTTTTGAAAGCATGCTAAGTGAAAAAAGCCAGTTAAAAAAGACTACATTCTATTTATATGAAATGTCCCAAACAGGGAAATCTACAAAGGAGGGAACAAAAATAGTGGTTGCCCAGGACTAGGGGAATGAAAGGGGTAAAGGCAGATTTCTTTTGGATGTGATAAAAATGTTCTAAAATTGTGGTAATGGTTGACACTCCATGAATACACTAAAAACTACTGAATTTATACTAAATGATTGTACTATATGGTGAGTGAATTATATCTCCATATAGCTGTTAAAATATTCTTCTGACCAAATGTATAAAAGTACCATTTTCCACACTTGTACATTGCTGGTGGGACTGCAAATTGGTGCGGCCAATTTGGAAAGCAGTATGGAGATTTCTTGGAAAGCTGGGAATGGAACCACCATTTGACCCAGCTATTCACCTTCTCGGTCTTTTCCCTAAAGACCTAAAAAGAGCATACTACAGGGACACTGCTACATCGATGTTCATAGCAGCACAATTCACAATAGCAAGACTGTGGAACCAACTTAGATGCCCTTCAATAGATGAATGGATAAAAAAAAATGTGGCATTTATACACAATGGAGTATTACTCTCCATTAAAAAATGACAAAATCATAGAATTTGCAGGGAAATGGATGGCATTAGAGCAGATTATGCTAAGTGAAGCTAGCCAATCCCTAAAAAACAAATGCCAAATGTCTTCTTTGATATAAGGAGAGTAACTAAGAACAGAGTAGGGAGGAAGGGCATGAGAAGAAGATTAACATTAAACAGGGATGAGAGGTGGGAGGGAAAGGGAGAGAGAAGGGAAATTGCATGGAAATGGAAGGAGACCCTCAGGGTTATACAAAATTGCATACAAGAGGAAGTGAGGGGAAAGGGGAAAAAAAAAAAACAAGGGGGAGAAATGAATTACAGTAGATGGGGTAGAGAGAGAAGAGGGGAGGGGAGGGGGGAGTAGAGGATAGGAAAGGCAGCAGAATACAACAGACACTAGTATGACAATATGTAAATCAGTGGATGTGTAACCGATGTGATTCTGCAATCTGTATACGGGGTAAAAATGGGAGTTCATAACCCACTTGAATCAAAATGTGAAATATGATATATCAAGAACTATGTAATGTTTTGAACAACCAACAATAAAAATTATTTTAAAAAATTAAAAAAGAGAAAAAAAATAAATAAAAGTACCATTTTCCAAATTGCTCTCAATATAGCAGAGGTTGTCAAACGTTTTCTGCAAAGAGCCAAACAATATTCTAGGCTGTGCAGACCATATAGTCTCTATTGCAACTTAGCTCTGCCACAATAGTGAAAGCTGCCATAAACAAGATGTGAAGGAAAAAATGTGGCTGTATTCCAGTAAAACTTTATTGACAAAGGTGGCAACCTGGACCTCTGACCTAGACTACAAATCTCCCTTAATCCACATCACCACCCTCTGCAAATGACAGGGCAGGAATGCCTATAAAGTGGTAGAGACTCAGAGGCTGTCTTGTCCAATGATAAACAACTTATAAATGGTAGAAGCAAGACTTCCAGCCTTGACATCACTGGGTGTTTGCATGAGCTAGAAATGCTGCTTCTCCAGAATATCTCTCCCTCCAGATAGTCACCAGATCTCTGACAAACTGGTACAGATCTGATGGGCCACAAGAGCCTCACAGAGGTCTCTTCCTCCAAAGCCTCAGGGATCCTTGTCTAAGCCCTCCCTCTCTTTTTTTTTTTTAATTTTATTTTTTATTTTTCTTTTTAGTTGTAGATGGACACAATATCTTTATTTATTTATTTTTATGTGGTTTTGAGGATCGAACCCAGTGCCTCACACATGCGAGGCAGGCGCTCTACTACTGAGTTACAGCACTATTCCTAAACCCTTTCTCTTTTTGATGACTTTCAATGGTACAAACATGTCTAAGGTACCACATTCAAACACCTTGTCAACTTCAGTTTTCATCAAAAAGGACCCACTTAGGTTTAACCTTCCACCAATCCAAAGACACGCAAAAATCTCACAACTGGTAAAGCCTTTGCAGAGCATGAGGCCTGGTTTATGTACCCCTCTCCCTGGGCCTCATGAGTGCCTTCCTGGGATGCCCTTCCTTTTTTTTTTTTTTTTTTTTTTTTTTTGACATTCACTAAGTTGGTTGTGTAGGCTGGCCTTGAACTCCTGGACTCAAGTGATCTTCCTACCTCAGCCTTTGAAGTAGTTGGGACTAAAGATGCATGCCACCACACCCTTCTTCCTCTTTACTAGCTGTGCATTGCCCATTCTAGGTCCTTCGATTAAGGATAGATGAAACCTCAGCTTCCTGCTACATCCAAACTCCTTCCCCATTTGTATGAAGTTATGGAACTAACAGACAGAAGGATCCTCACAGGCCACTACAGCTTCAACTCACTGAAAAAAAGGAGGAAGTAGTTACATGCCCAAGATCACAGTACTTCATAAGTTAAACAAGCACCAGACCCCCAATTTGTATTCCTGTCACAATGCCAAACTGCCTGTGAAGTTCTGAATTTCCTAAAGCAGGTAGTGTTAGGGCAAGGTCTCATACAACCTGCTGTCACTCTGGATATGCTATAGACACCCAACACTCTTCCTCCTTCTCATCACTGAACTGTTTCTCATAGAGCAATGCCCAGCTTAAATGCCCTTTCACCCCAGGCTCTTTCTAGACTCTGAACATCCCCAAGACAGGAAGAGGTTCTTCTTTGTGTTCTCACAGCTTCTTTGTACTTCCCTTATCAAGTATATTATAAGTCATTGGGTAGTCAGGATAATGTAGCCTTCTGCATTTGACAGTGAACATCATTCAGGTAGATATCACATCTGTCTTGAAGATCATGGTGCCTCCTGCCCCCAACACAGAAAAACTAATCAAATGGAAGGAGAGTATTACTATTTTTCATTCACTAAAATCAGTCACTTCCTTTCTTACCCTCAAGTCTCTTCTCCAGCGGCAATGAAAGAGCCACTACTTTCTTCTAGGCCTTATCACAGTCACAGGTGGACAAAGGAGGCATGGTGTCAACTCCCACTTAAGAGAGAAGGCTCCAAAGAAAGCAGGGGTTGTGGCAGGGCACTAGTACAGAGGACCTGGAAACTGCAGAGAAAAGTGCATTGGATGGGGTCCATCTGCGCTAGGGACCCAAAGTACAGGCCAGCCTTTGCCCTACACAAAATTCAGAGTCTGCTCCGTGACCTTGGGAGTTCTGACCCAGAGACCAAATTTCCTGAGGGAAAACAAGAAAGACACCTACTTCCCTCATTAAAGAGAGGAAAGCCATAAGCTCCGAGAAAAGCCGCACAGGCCAAATGTCAATCGCAACCTCTGCCCCGACTGCGCTGCAAATCTTCGGGCCGTCTCCTTTCCCATCTACAACAGGATTAGATTAGCCTGAATGACCTCGAGGGCCTAAGCCCTGCCTCAGTCACCCGACACTGCCCGGCCGAAGACCTCAGCCCAGTGTAGCCCGGCTTGGCCACTGGCCAAAAGGTAACGTCCTGGCCTCACCTGTCGGGGGAGCGTAGGTCCGGACCGGGGGCTGGGGACTTGGCCCCGGACTCGCTGAGATGATAGGGTCACTAGGGGGCCGGTTCAGGAGGTAGTGCCCACGGCCTCGCAGCCGAAGGCAACTCCTCCACATCGCGCCGCGGGACCTGGGAGGACACGCGCAGCGAAACCAGAAAGCAGGAAACAGCGAAAAAATCCCTAAGCCGCAAGCCGCTGGGGCTGTACGGAAACCTTTCACCACGCTCCCAGAGCCCTCAGCCTCCCCTGGACGCCGCCATCTTCCATATGACACCTACGGCGCGCCGTCGCAGCCGCGCGCCCCTGGCGCACACCCCCAGTCAATCAGCATCACAAACGCACCTCGCCCCGCCCCCTTCGCGCGCGCCTCCGGAAGAAGACTACAAGTCCCAGAAGGTAGCTCGCGCACCTCGCCACGTGTTTTCTCCGCCCGCCAATGGGCGGAAGCGCCGCGTGAGCCTGCTCCCGCCCCCTCGGCGATCTCGAGCCAATCGGAAGGGGTAGTGTGTGTGTGTGCGAGGGCAAGTGGGGAGGGGGACCCAGCTCAGGAGAGGGGCCCTGCTCGCAGGTCCCGGGGTCCGGGTGCCGGCCCGAGAGCTTGGTCCGCAGGCAGCGGGCGGGTGGTGCCCCCTCCTGCCCCCACCCCGCGCGTGCGCGCCCCAGCCCCCCCCTCCCCGTCACCCTCCTCAGCTCCCGCGCGGCGGCGGCGGTTCCTCTCCCCCTCCCCCCAGCCCTGGCTCCGGGGGACCCCGCGATGCCGGTCCGCACCGAGTGTCCCCCGCCGGCCGGTGCCTCGGCCGCCTCCGCGGCCTCGCTCATCCCGCCGCCGCCCATCAACACCCAGCAGCCCGGCGTGGCCACCAGCTTGCTCTACAGCGGCTCCAAGTTCCGCGGCCACCAGAAGAGCAAGGGGAACTCGTACGACGTAGAGGTGGTGCTGCAGGTGAGCGCCGGGCCGGGCCGGCCGGGGCCCGAGGGCCTCCTCGCGGCGCTCACGGGCCTTGCCCGCCCTCGGCTCCTCGAGCCCGCAGCCGCGGACCAGGCCTTCACCGCCCTCACCGCCGGGGCCTCCTGCACCCGGCGCCTCCCACCCGGGACCTGCTCCGCCGGTGTCTCACACACTCCGAGCCCCAGACCTGTGCTGCCCCTCGGACCCAGAGCCTGTGGTGACCGGCTCCTGGCAGACCCTGAACACTGTCCAGACTTGAATCCCGGGGATCCGGAAGCCCTGCCTTGTCTGGCCTTCCTCTGGCCTGGGTCCTTCCTCCCCAGACCTGTCGCCCTACACCAGTCCCTCTCAGACCCTGAGGAACTCTCCATTGGTTTCCCCAGACTTGGGGCCCAGGCCAGATTCTGCCAGACCTGAGACACGATCCCCTATTCTCAGACCCTGGTGGTTTCCTCTGTAGGAGAGGTTGATCAGCCTCCTGAGACGGGGGAGCATCCTCCCTCCTTTGGCTGAGAGCCCCGAATCCACACTGATCCCTCCCTCGTCCCTGTCTCCAAATAAACCAGGTATTCACACCCTGGGTGCCAGAGTGGAGCTCTTCACCAGTCTGTTAGGATCTTACCCCTTGGGGTCCCTGATACCACCTCCTACTTCAGTTTCTTAATGGTCCAGGCACCCAGCTGCCCTCTTCCCCCAGGCTTCTCATAACTTCCTACCCAGTTCTGTGGCCACTTCCCATCAGCTCCAAGTCTTCACTGGCCTCTACCCAGACTTTCATCTAGCTCATTACTTGGTCCAAGGGACCTTCTTTCAAAGTGTTCTTAACTTTATCTACACAGGCATAGGGCTTCCTCCGAGTCTCTGATACCAGTATACTGGGAAATCTAACTCACCCAGTTTTTATTTTGTGTCCACTCACCTCCCCCTGTTTGACCTGGATTTCTGAGTACCTGCTGCCAGTCCCAGATCAGCTTTGGAATTACAGCTTCACCTGCCCAGGGCCTTTCCTATGCCTTACCTCTCTCACCCAGATGTTGGCACACTTGACAGTTTTTCCTAGCCAAAGGAGCTTGGTGGTGATAGATACTCCCTTTTATCTCCCTTCCGCACAAACTATTCTTCCTCAGTTTTCACCCCTGCCTACTTGAGGACCCACTTTCCCCATTCCTTTACCCATTCTTTCTGATACCAAAAGCCCCTCCAAACACCTGTCCTTTGAAAACCCTCCCAGAAGCTTAGAGGCCCTATATGCTGCCTCACTGCCCTCCTTTGTGAGGGTGGACAGTACCTGTTCCTCATGCTCACTCTTTGCCCTCTTAGTCTCTCTTCTGAACAAGTAGACTTTCTACTCAAAAGACAGTAAGGGTGCCTCTTCTTTCTGCTAACTGTAGAGCATTCCTTAGTTCCTTTTTTTCTTACTGCTTTGTGAGAGTAAATAGTTTTTCTTCTGGCTTTGGCTGAGAAAGCTGCATCCTCTTGTTAATTGTGTCTTTGATCTGTAAATTTAAAAGTTCTATCATGAGCTGTGATATTTATTGTAATTAAAAAGCTACTGTAGCTGGGATATTTTAGTCTCATAACTCTATGCCTAATGTGATTCCCTTTTTTTTGCTTAAAATGTGAGACTTTATGAAGGTCACACTGTTTTTGTTTTTTCCTGGTGTTGTTTGTTTTGTTTTAAATTCAGCTAATCATAAAATTCTGAAATGAGATCCCTGGGTCATGTTTGGACAGTCCCAAGTTTGTGCCCATTTGATGTTTTCCAGTGTGGTAGTCTACCGACAGGGTAGCTAGGTGTCTAAAGGAGTCTGCTTTGGTTACTTCAGTGACTATTCCTTTCTGTGATTATTGTGTTATTTCTGAACTCTCGTCAGGTGCCAGTCTCCTTGTGAACCAATAAAAGCCGTGATTGAGTGATTGGTAGGTCTCAGGCCTCCCAGACCATCTGACTGATGGTTGGAAGACACTTAAGTAGGATGTCTGATGGTGGGGGCAGTGGCCATGCCAAGGAATGCCACCCTACATCTGGATTGGTGAGCTGCTTATTCACATCATTGCGACTTGTTAGTGGCATGTGAATTGCCCCACCATCTGGTTTTTCAGCCAGGACAAGTTTCTTAGACTTAGCCTTCTCAGAATATTTCTCCTGTCTTTCATAAGCCTCTTTCTTTTTCTTTTCAAGCACCTTTATTCACATATAATTCACATACTATATAATTCACCTATTAAAGTATACATTTCAGTAATTTTTAATATATTCAGAGTTGTGCAGCCATCACCACTACCAAATTTTAGAACATTTTTATCATCCCCCAAAGAAACCTTCATACCTTTCGCTACCATAGGCAACTGCTAACTTTTTAAAATATATTTGCCTGTTCTGGCTATTTCATATAACTAGAAACAATATTTATCTTCTTGTGACTGGCTTATTTAACTTTGCATGATATTTTCAAGATTCATGAAATTCATCCATATTTTAGAACGTGTCAACATTCATTCCTTTTTATTGTTCCAGTGTTCATTGTATGGATGTAACAACCTTTTGTTTATCCGTTGATAGACATTGATGTACATCAGTTGGTAAACATTTGGGTTGTTCATACTTTTTGGCTATAACAAATAATGCTGCTATGAACATCTGTGTACAAATTTGTTCATTTATGGTTGTTTTTGAGATGGGGTTTCACTGTATTGTCCAGGATAACTTTGAACTCGTGTACTTAAGTGATCCTCCTGCCTCAGCCTCCTAAGAGCTAGAATGTAGACTTAGCACTGTGCTCAGCTCATGTACAGATTTTTATGTGGACATGCTTTTACTTCTTTTGGGTGGGTAGACAGACCTAAGAGTGAAACTGCTGGGTCATATAGTAACTCTATATGTAACATTTTGATGAACTACCAGTCATTTCTAAAGTGGCTGTCATTTTACATTTCCACCAGTGACATATGAGGATTCTAAATTTGCACATCCTCTCCAACACTTGCTATTGTTCATCTTTTTGACTGTCATCATCCTGATGAGTGTGAAATAGTAGCTCAGTGTGGTCTGTGTTTGAATTTCTCTGGTGGCTGGTGGTGATGAGTATCTTTTGTGTGCTTTTTGGAGCATTTTCTATTGGGATATTCCAGTATAGTGTTCCTCAAACCTTTATGGGGTTCTGACTGGATCTTTTTTACCCTTACTGCGACTACTTTTTCCCTCTCCTACCATTCTAGAAGCCACCAGTAGAGTGAAGCCTGGGTCCCTTTAAAAGGAATATTAAAAAGAGCAGCTGTTGGACACAGCTGTGCTGTGAGACTTCCTTGCTGAACATTTGCCTTGTTATCTTTCTCATTGAGATTCTGCCCCCTCATTTGGTGAAAACTGTATGTGTTGTGGGGTTATTTTGAGTTCATCAACCATCATCAAGATCAATTTGGACAGAATAGGAGAGACACATGGTTGAACGGAGGCCAAACAGAAATTCTGATTCTTGAGCATGTGATAATCCATGCAAATACAAGCCAATTTACAGTTCAATTTTAAATCTTATTAGCAAGTATCCCTGCCACCTGATACCCTTTCCAGCAGCTGTGAAACCCCAAACTATACTGAATTCAATGAGAATTGCATACATGAAATTTAAGGCCTCAGGTTAGAACTTTTAATAAAAGTTCTTTGCTGAACCATATTAGTGTGAATCAGCTGTTTTCCATAATGTCCAATGCCAAGGTCAGCAGATGAGGACACATAAAATGCTTTGGCAGTTTTCACATGGAATACCTTTGTCACCAGCACCAAACTGTGAAGGCACTTTAGCTTTATTGAAGCTCAATTGCTTCGGTGCTGACATCATCTGGCTGACCAAGATCATTACAGTTTTTAAGGACTGCCTTAGTATTTCATTTATGGTATAATCGACCAATATCTGATAAATGCCACAAAACTTTGCAAGTTTCTTGAAATGAGCCTTAATTTAAAATGAAAGTCTTATTGTGCTACAGGTACCACTAAACCTTGTTTTGCTTTGATTCAAAGGTTATTAGGCAGAGTTCCAGAGTTCGTGACAATTGGATTCATTTTAAGTCACAAACTCACACTCTGCCTGTTTAGGGTGAGTCTGTATAGATTTGGATAAATGTACTAGTTAGTATGCTTTCAGCCATGAGTAACCATATTTTGCATTTCAAAATAGTTTACAGAACAAATGAACCTATTATCTCACATTGTAAGGCGTTTAGAGGCGACGTGGTCCCAGGATAGTTAATTAAGGGGCCAAAATTCTTCCATCTTACTGGGCTGTCATCCCTAGCATTGTGTGGCCTGTTTCTCCTCCTGATCTCTTCTTAATGGCTGTTCTAAGATTGGACTCTGCATACAGATACTACCACCACCAGGGGAATGAAAAAGGCCATTTCTTCCTCATGTGCCTCTTTGAAAGCCAGTGCTCTTTTGTGGGTGCACCCAGGAGATTTTTCACACCCATCTGATTGGCCACAACTGAGTCACTCACCCCTAAACCAATGACTTGTAAGGAGAATGGGGGCTTGTGCTTATCCTAGATCCATCAGGGTTGACCAGATCTTTTTTTTGTGGGGGTAGGGTATGGAGGATTGACCTCAGGGGCACTCGACCACTGAGCCACATCCCTGGTCCTATTTTTTGTATTTTATTTAGAGACAGGGTCTCACTAAGTTTTTTTAGCACTTCACTTTATGCTGAGGCTGACTTTGATCCTCCTGTCTCAGCCTCCTAAACTGCTGGGATTATAGGTGGTGCACTACTGCACCCGGCAGTTGACCAGGTCTTTCAGGATAGGGTAGCTGCCAGAACAAAATCTAAACCCTGCCTGCCTGAAAAAAGAGGAAATTGGTTGTAGGCACTCGGCAGAGTCTCAGCAACCAAAATAAGTGGTGGCTACTAAACCTCAAAATTTACTATGTCTGTTATTCCTGTTTATTTTCGGCTCATGACTCTTCTCATTAAGAAACTCAAGCATCTGTATGTGAATAGACAGGGCAGAAATTTACAGTATAATCGGAATTTTGATTGGTATTTTGGTTCAAAACTAAAATTATACCATGTAAGTCTTCATAAGGTTCTGTTCCTGAATATTATTCTCATTTCATAAAGAAATAGTGCAGCATGGTATTTTGGATAAATACCAGGGCAGGAGTACATTTTTTAGACTAGTGATTGAGTAGCAAGGAAATAAAGGGAAACTAGTTAGACATTAGAAAGTCAGACCCAGGTTTAGGGATGATACCCATGTGTACAGGTAAATAGACCTGGTGCTCAATAACACACAGTGTAGATGAACTTGTGTTGGAGACTGCAGAAAATGAGATTTGAGAAGTGGGCTCACTGTTCCCAAAAGGCACTTCAGTCCCAAGATTCCAGCTTAAGGAAGTTGAGAGGGCCCTGAGATCAGTTTGCATTGTCAGAACAGGCACATGTGTAGTGGTGCAGTCCCAAAGGCTGGTAGAACCTTTGGCTACACTGTCCTTGCACTGACCACCAGGTCTACCTCTCTATCCTAGCCTCACAGGGTTTCCAAAGTACTCTCCCAGCATTTCAGGGTGTATTCATCTGTGTATATAATGGTCTGTGTGTCCTTTTCTTTTCAGCACGTGGACACAGGGAACTCTTATCTTTGTGGATATCTGAAGATTAAAGGCCTTACTGAGGTAAGCACTTGCTCACTTGAGCTAGAACTGGGAAGTGGGTGGCATGCTCAGCAGTCCTGCAGGGTTGAGGGCGGGCAATCTCAACTCCATTTCTAAGCATTGTTATCATACAGGGAACATACAGTGCAGTTCTGATGTGTCCTGCAGAGAAGTACACACATCCACAAATGTTTCCCCCTTTGGTGGTAAGGATAGAAACTAGGACCTGAGGTGTGCTAAGCACACATGCTCTACTGTAGTTCTGCCCCTCATAAATCATTTAAAGAAAAGTTTGTAAATATGTCACAGTTTGATCAAAACTATTCATTTTGTTATATTTTTTAAGTAAAAATGTGTGTATATATATGTGTGTTTAAGTATATACATACACATAAATATATACATGGTGAGAATATAGGTACTATAAGTACCATAAGTTTAGTAGTCTCTGAGGTAAGCATCAATCATTCAAAAACTGAACTTTATTGGAACATTGAAAAGTGGCTGTCCCATCTTCAACCTGATAGGTAAAAGTAGAGTGTTTTCCTTCCTTAGATCTAAGTTTTCAAACTTCAGAATTCCTGGTATTTAGAAGGTAAGAAAGAGCATCCCTTCTTTTCCATTAGTGGGTAAACAGGAAGAGGAAGGAAGGACTGACTGACCACTGAGCTCTGCTGTGAGTGCCTGGATGTGACCTTTCTGCAATGTCCTGTGGCCTGTTATCACTTCTTATAGTTTTGATGACCCAGCAGTATTGGGCTGTGTCCCTTTCTCCCTTAATTTCAGTTTCCTCATTTGAAAAGTAAGGATCAAAAATCTGCTCTACGTTTTTAGTGAACTTTCTAACAGGAGGAAGCCATGTTAGAGTAAGTGGCAGGATGACACCGCCTAAACATGAGTAAAGCCATATCTCCAGCTATGATACCCTAAAGACGATGCTGCATGGGATTTGGAATCAGCCAGGGTGGAGTTGGAATCTTGGCCTCATAAACTATTGGTTGTATGATGTTTGGAAAAATTAAATAACCTCTATGGACTTTCCTTTTCTCTCTCTCCCTCCCCCTTTCCTTTCTTCCTCAATCCATTCCTTCCTTTCTTCCCTCTTTCCTTTGTAAAATGAATCTTTGTGATGCTAGATTGGACAGTAAGGTAATTAGTAGGTGATCAATAATTGTTATTTTTTGTTTTCTATTAGTATGTGAGTGAAAATTTAACTCTCCTAAATTTTCTTAATTACATACAAATTCAATTTACCAAAAACGTTTTCCCTTTTCTTAAGCTTTTATTTTATTCTTAGGGTATCCCTGGTGTAATATGTATCACAGAGAATATGTAGACCGTCAGCACCTTCACTGTATGCCATAACACTTCACCCACACAAATATGTATATCTATGGCCATTCTTATATCCTTCTTTTTAATTTCAAGGAATCATGATAGCATTAGAATATCTCTTCCTCCCTTTTTTAAACTTCAAGATGAGCTCTCTTTTTCCTTATATTATAAATGAAGCTAAGGAATAATGTCTAAGAAAGAATTGCATGCTTATGAATGTAAATCACAATAATTTCATTCAGCTAATAATGATGAGTTACTGAAGGTGAAATAATAAAAATGAAATCCTGGGAAAGTTGGTAGAACAGCTCTAGAACATACTGTGACCACAGTCAATGGTAGATTATACTCTCCTCAAACTGGACATCCCCGCTTGGCTCTTCAATTTTAATGTGTTTCACATATTTTATCAATATATATGTATTGGGAACACATTAGTTTTTAGTTGAGACTACACACTGATAGAGCTCTGTGATAATTGTCATCGGGGATTCAGTGAGTAAAGGGTGGTTCAAGAATTGGGAAGAGGAAGAAGCCACCACTTGGGTCCATGGTGACCAAACCAGACTATCATACAGATTCCTTGACTAGCCATGTCCAGGGTATTCTGTCATAAGTTTTAAGACTTTAAGAAAGAAAAAGGTATTATACTGAGTCGTGAAATTTGGGGAAAGTTCTGATAGGTGGGGAGAAAGGGAAGAATATTCCAGATAGAGAAGAATATTCCAGGTATCAAGAACATGGAGAGGGCTACTAGCTGTCATTATATTTATCTGGCTGGATGTGAGAGGGAAGGAAAGTATTACTGGAGAGATATGTGGGGTTAGACTAACAAAAGTCTTGAGTGGTAGAAGAATAATTTGGGGGCAAGTGGACATTTTAAAATAGGAATACGATACAATACAATACAATGTGATTAGAAATATCAGTCAGTGTTCTGAGTATCAGCTGGGAGAATAGAAAGAAGGTATCCCTCATCAAGAAGCTCTCCTGAATTCATATTTGAGGTGTAAAGACCATGAACAAATAAATAGAGAGAGGATAGGGTAGAGAGAATCTCTGAGGCCTCATGAGGCCCTGGAGAATGGATGGGGGATGGACTCATCAGTCCATGTGGTAGGCAGCTTCTAAGATGGCTTCTGATGATGAGGATCCCCACCTCCTGGGGATCATGTCTTTGTGGAATCCCCTCCCCTTTTGTATGGGCTGGATCTAGTTACTTGCTTCTAATCAATAGAAAACAGAAAAAGTGTTGGGATATTACTTTTGAGATTAGATTACAAAAACACCCTGGCTTCTGTCTTTCTCAACCACTTTGCTCTCTGACTTGCTCACTGTGATCGAAGACAGCTGTCATGCTGCGGGCTGTCCCTACAGAGAGGCTCATGTGGTAAAGGACAGAAAGGCAGAATTGTGGAACTGTGGAATCCTTGTGGATTTGCGTCTTCGGTTCAACAACCTTTGAAGAAATGAATTCTTTCCATAACCCTGCGCATGAACTTGGAAGTGGATCTTTCCCTTCTCAGAGAAATGAGCCTTGAGATGACTGCAGTCCTGGCCAATGGCTTGATCATAACCTTGTGATTACAGCCTTGTACTGCGTAACATATCACCCCCAAGAGTGATAACATACATATATTACTTCACAAGATTCTGCAGATGAGGAATCCAGGTGAGGCTTAGCTGAGCCTTCTGGCTCAGGGTCTTTCACAAGGGTTAATCCTATCAAAGCTACCCTGGGAAGGATATACTCCCAGCTTCCTCATGTAGTTGTTGGCAGAATTTAATTCTTCATGAGTTGTTGGTTTGAGGTCTCAGTTTCTCACAAGCCATTGGCTGGAGGCTTCCCTTAGTTCTTTGCCATGTGGGCATCTCCATAGAGTCTCTCACAATATGGCAGATTCACACATCTAAGGGAGCAAATGGGAATGTAGGAGAGGGTACTAGCAGGATGGAAGCCACAGGCTTTTGTGATCTGATCACTGAAGTGATATCACGACTTATGTTGCCATCCCACCTGTTAAAATGTGTTATAATTCTTTGGTTACTAGGCTCAATTCACAATGAAGGAGAGGAGATTACACATTAGCACTATCACCAGGAGGTAAGAATCACTGGGTACTTTTTCAGACTGCCTACCCCAACTCTGGATATTTATTACCATTTTTGTTATCTTCTCAAAGGGAAGATGCAGGCTACTACGCTTGGAACATAAGTGCTTCATAAATACTTGTTGAAGAAGCGAGGTGAAGTTTGCAAAGACTGTTAGAGGTTTCTGAACTGTAATTGTTGACTTAGATATTAAGGCATTGGGCTGGGGATGTGGCTCAAGCAGTAGCGCGCTTGCCTGGCATGCGTGCGGCCCGGGTTCGATCCTCAGCACCACATAAAACAAAGATGTTGTGTCCGCCGAAAACTAAAAATAAATAAATAAATATTTTTTAAAAAAAGATATTAAGGCATCGATGGTCTCCTCAACTGGTCAGCAGTGGAATGGAGATTCTGATCTAGTTTGCTTCCTTTGGTATACAACTGTGCCATGTATAAAAGTCCCTGTCTGATGGGACAAGGGGTTACTTAAATCCTGTCCATATTCCACTTGTGGAATTGTGTGACTTGGCATGGGGCTAAGTCAGCTCAGAGGAAGGAGTATCTTTTTGAAGTTTATCTCCCCACCGGGGATTCTTGTTTTAGGAATGGCACAGAGGCCCCATCTGTGGTCCGTGCACTCCCCTCTGTCCTTCCATGATGCTTTCTGTTCTCCTTGAACTATACCCTCTAAAATGGGCTTGAGGTTGTGAGGGGCACAATGTCCCACACCACACCTGACTTCCTCTCCAGCTGCAGGGAGGATTAAGTTCCCTTTTGGGAGGCCTTTGAGAGGCCGGGAGGGAGGGAAGGTGCTATACAAACGCAGACAAATTCCATCATCCCTATTAAACTGCCAAGAAAATTCTATGCACACAGCGATACCACCCTCTCCCTGAGTACTGGGTCTGACCTGACAATAGCAAACAAACAACAAGCTGTGATCTGTTTTTAATTCCAAATGAAAATCCACCCCCAAATAGAGGCGAGAAGGAGAAAAAGCAGCTCAGCAACAATGTGTGCTTTGGCTGAAGACCCCAGGAAGCCTTGCTTCTGTTAACCTCAGCCCATCTCCCTCCCAAAAAGCTCAACTCACACCACTGGAATGGTTGTGTATTGAGGATAAGGATGTTGACAATAGGGTTTAAGCTGCATAAATAACTGCAAATTGCTATTTGGCTAGCAACTGCCAGCAAAAGAAAAAAAAATATAGGGAGCATAAGTTATGTGGAGGGAGGGGCCGGGTAGCAAGTAATGTGGAATCTGGCATCCAGCTCTGGGTGTAAAAGACACTCTGACAAGGTGATCACAGGCCACCCACAATTGTTACACAGCTATAAGAAGTTATTTTGACAGGACATGTGGTGCACTTCACATGGAGGATTCAATCCCACAAATGATTTAGTAATATATTATAGAAAAGTTCTGGTGTAATGAACCAGCTATTACAGCAACTCGGGGATAGAATGCATGTAACCTCCAAGTACCCATTTTGTCATTTCCATTCAGTTCTGTTGGTGGTGATGTGTGGAGTGAGAGGGAAGGAAAGACATGAAGACATCAGGGAAAGGAAAGAAATACCAATACAGTTGCTATTCTGGGATCCCCCTTCTTCTTGCTTTCCCTTAGTGTAGTTTTCAATGGTGTCTCCCACATTCTTCTCAAAGTACTCTACCAGTGTAGGGTGCAGCAGAGGTGACCAGGATTAGACCAGCCATCTGTGGTGCCGCTCCAGATCAGGGGTTTATTTATGATTCATGGTTTCACCCCAGTTTCTTTGCTCTATGTCCTTTCCAACTCCATCTCATTTTGTTTTCTATTTTCCCACTCACAGTAATAAATACTTAGCTTGAAACATGTGGTCTTCCTCTTTCTCGAGGTCTTTTTTGAATATTGCCAAGTCAGAAAAACATCATATTAAATTGTAACAGAGGAGTTAAAGGTGAGAAAAACAATAAAGAATTCATTGCGTGAAGTGTTTATTGAATAAAATAATAAAAATACAGATGGAAGTTGGGGAATTCCGGACTCTGGTATATTCCGGCTGACTTGTGTGCCTAGCATCCTTTTGACTCCTGCCAAGACTTTCTTCTGAGAACCATTTCCTCCTCCTTTTTCAAATGAAATATTTGTGCAGAAGAAAGAGTTTTTTTTTTTTTTCATGATCACAATTCTGGTCACAGATTTTTGGTGTGGTGGTGATCAATTAATAAAATGGGGTTCATCAGTTAGCTTTTACAGTTTCACATATTATACTATACCAGAGCTTGGGTGACTTAAAAGAATCATCAATTGTTCTCACTCCTGGGTCTGAGGGGCAGTTGGGGGTGGCTCCACGTGGTGCTACAATTCTGAAGATGGCTGAGGGGGGGGGGGTCTCTGTTCAAACGCATATTTTTTTTCCCCGAGTCCAGGCTGAAGGAAGAGACACTGCTGACAGAATCTCTCAAAGCTATAGCAGAAGGGCAAGAGGAGAAGTAGTAACATATGCTGGTACTTAAGGTTTAGGTTTGGAAATCACATAACTTCACTTTCACCTGCATTTCACTGAACACTATAAACCACCTGGCTGAGTCACTTGAGGGAGGGGGATGGTATGCTCTCCCTCTTTCAGACCATGGTAAGAAGTACTGAAGCCAACAAATTCAATCTATCACTCTGAGTTGTTCCCAATTGTTTCACATTGGGTCAAAGGAAAAGAGGGTTTATGAAATGTCTTAAAGTTTAGATATAAAGCACAGGAAGTTTTATTGCCATCTTTCTCGCCATGCTGAGGAAGCATTTTACAATAACAGAGAATAGGATGGTTGACGGAAAGCAGCAGACACAGAAAGAGACCAGTTACCTGTTCAGCTGTGCTTGGTTGGTCAATTGATTTATGAATCATGTGAACTGTTCCATGTCCTTCCAAAAATATTTTTAGTTTGATTAAATTTCTATTACTTGTAGACAAAATGTGTCCTAATTAATACACACACTCTGAGTCTCCATAGCAATTAGACATGAAAAGAGTTGGTTTTAGAATAGACTGATTTCTATTACAAATACACATGACTCCTGTACACATGTTTTACAGTTGAGCATCCTCTTATCTTCCTACAACATCTTGTATTCTAAAGCTGTTTAGTTGGGAAAGCTCAGGCCAGCAGCTGGAAGGATTTAGATGATTACTTCAGTGAACTTTTGGGTGGAAAAAGCAATCCAAAAGGGAACTAAAATGCAGAGATGGTAATGGAAAGAGATTGGGGCTGGGAATCAGAAGAGCTGGTCTATCACTAAGTGTCACTTAGGCTGGACTTAAACCTTGCCAGAGCCTCTACTTGAGCTCTGCATATTAGGGAAAAAAAAATCACACTGACCTCATAGAGGGGCTGTGAGAATTAAAGAACACAAGAGATGTGAAGATACTTTGTATATCATTAAACATTATGCTACACAAAGGAATCATTTATTCATTTATTCTTATGTTTTACAATGATGTATTGTCTAAATATGTCAGATTTTATGTCAAGGATTGGAGGTGCATAAAATGGACATGATTCTTGCCTTTTAAAATATATCTTTAAAAATATGTCTGTAATGTTTACAATCTAGAGAGGAATAGAGCATAAACATAAAGTAAGATAGAGTGAGAGAGTGTAGGGGTTATAACTGCTGGTGTGCATGTATGGAATGTGCCCAAGTTATGCCAGTGTATAAGTATTTTGAAAATCTGCTTGCATGGGTGTCCTGGCAGACCCACTTTGTCTCTTGTCACATTTATAGTCTTCTCTTTGTTGGTAGGACTGTAGGCTTGTGTATTCTGGCCTTGAAGGTAGGGCTTGTCTTCCTTTTGGGGAAGAAAAAGCACCTGGCCGCTCTTTTTATGCTCTTAGTCAAGGCTTTGGGGCATTGTTTTAGGACTTAGTAAAGTATTAGAAAGTGCCAGTTGTGATGTTGCTATAGAGGATGTCACGTTGACCCAGAGAATTTGGAGTTCTTTAATCAATTTTGTAAATGGCCTATGAAAATTAAGTGAGCAGCTCTGGTGCAGCCTGGGTGCTTACCTTATTGCAGGATAGATCCCTTGTGAAAAATGACAGCAATGTACCCAGGTGATACCTTCAGTATGCTCTTTAGGATCCTTAGCTGCAGGCAAGTGCAGGTTGACTTACAAAAGGTGACTGAGTTGCTGGGGAATCATGAGGATAGCTGGACCAGTGTTGAATAGTGACAAAAAACAGTGCTGCAGGAAGGGCCAGAAAAGGAAACTGCTTCCACTGCTGCTGCTTCATCCAGCAATCGAGGGACCTGGCATCTTTGTCACGGATGCCATTCCATGGCGTCATTTCTGCGCCAGGCACTCAACTGTGCAAACACTCAGCACCTGCTGTTGCTGCCATCACTGAGAAACAGAGGCTTCCAGCACCACCGTACCAGCAGAAATCAAAGCTCTATGCAGAGCCTCTTTCCTCCTGTCTACTTCGTGGTTGGAACCTAAGTCTGTCGTGTCTGTAGAGTGGACTCTTGAGGGGGGTCTGGATCATTTGCATCAGCTTAGTTGCTAGGATGCTTGGAATTTGAATTCTGACTCCATTGACTCGTATTTGGGATTCCCCCAAACGTAGAGAAACTATTAAAGGAGGAGAGATGCACATGAATATGTCACATATCTGTTATCCCTAGTTGCCCCCCCCCCCTCCGCCGACTACCAAAATCAGGGAAGAATTACCGGGGATATAAAACAATAGATAGTAACTCTTGGAAAGTTTCCTGACTTTGAAGTCAGCAAAAGTTGTTGAGAACTTTGTCATGAGAACTTGGAAGGCTTTCTCATCACATTTTGCCCAGTGAATGATAAATAATCTGCTGTGGGTTCCGATTCCAATTCCCACTTTCCCTTTGCTAAGATAAATGAGGTGATAAGGAGAAGAGTCTCTGAACTAGATGGTGCTTTGTGTGCTCCTGCTGCTCTGTGATCTTGTGAGGGCCATCTCATTCCCCATTTCTGTACAACTTCCTCCTGTGTGGTTGGCTGAAAGGTTTGGAGGGTGGAAAGCCCTATCCGAACATTGCTGAAGGAATGCTCAAGATGAGGTATCTAGAAAAGAAAAATAGAAGTTCACTTGCAAAGAGTGCAAGGGGGTCAGACTTTAGAAGGACTCACTGGGCAATGTAAAACATAATAAGTATTTAAATGAAAAACTACAAAATCATCAGTTCCCAAGAACTCATTAATCTATTCAGGGTGAAAATAGCAACTTGCTCATATGGTTATCATATACACAAAAGTCATGATACACTTTTAGATACCAGCATAGCCAAAGTTGGAGATACAATTATTTTTGTTAGAGAATTCTAGGTTTATAGAAATTATTCAAGATTTATTATTTGGGGGCCTACAAGTGTACCAGATGATCATAGTTTTAAAATATATCTGAAAATTCTTTGAAAACATCATTTCAAAAGGTGAAGCCTACTTCATCTTCACTTGATTGTGGGCCAGACTTCATGAACTGCTTCTAAAGAATACTATGTGGCAGAAGAGATAGTGTGTGACTTTTAAGATTAGGTCATTGAAGACATTGCAGCTTCTACCTTGCTGGCAAGTGGATCATTTCCCGAGGGGGAAGTTATCTGTCATGTCATGTCATGTCATAGGGGCACTCGAGCACCCCTAAGGGAAGATCCCCGTGGTGAGAAACAGACCTCCTCCAACAGCCAGCATGACCTCATCAGGCATGTGAGCAAGGACACTTGAAAGCAGGTCCTCCAGCCCTAGTTAAGCCTTAATATTGCAGTCCCAGACAATATTTCAACTGCAACCTCAAGAGAGATCCTGATCAAGAACCACCCACCTAAGTCACTCCTGCATTTCTGACCTAAGGAAACTGTGTGAGATAATAAAATGTTTATAGTTAAGATGCTAAGTTTGCCGGCTGAGGAGGTGCATGCCTGTAATCCCAGCAGCTTGGGAGGCTGAGGCAGGAGGATTGGAGTTCAAAGCCAGCTTCAGCAAAAGCAAGGTGCTAAGCAACTCAGTGAGTCCCTGACTCTAAATAAAATACAAAATAGGGCTGAGGATGTGGCTCAGTGGTCGAGTGCCCCTTGAGTTCAATCCCCAGTACCTGCCACCCGCCGCCTCCAAATTTGGGAGTAATTTGTTATGAAGCAATAGATAACTAATACTAGGAGCCTGTCATTTTTGGTTTATCACAGGGTACAAAGTATCGCAGTGGTCATTATTATTTTCAATTGTGTTATGTAAAATGGTTTGACATATTGGAAGCTGGACAGAACATTAGCATCTGGTCTAATATGAGCTTTCCAAGCTACATTTATGAAGCTCTGCACAGGGTGTAAGGCACCAATAAGGGCTAATAACAGATGGCTTTTTGTGTAGCTGATACAGGCATATCACAGAATAGAAAGAGCACCTGGCAGGGAAAGATTCAGACTATTACACTCCAGGATTCTTTTTTTAAAAATATAAAACATTTTTAATGTTTTTATTGATGCATTAAAATTATACATAATAGCAGAATTTATTGTGACACTTTTTGTACATGGACACAACATAATTTGTTCAATTTCATTCCCCAACACTCTCCCTTTCTTTCCCTTCCTCTACTATAGACTCCAGAATTCTTGAAGGCAAGGACAGAGCTTGTTTAGTTCACTCCTCTATGTTCCAGTACCAAGCACAGTACCTGAGAGTAGGAAATAAATAAAAATTGATCAAAAAAATCAGTGACAGAATTTCAGGTGTTAAATCCACTAAAATGTTATCAAAACCCCACTGTTCACAATAGCTAAAATATGAAATCAGCCTAGGTGGCCATCAAGAGATGAATGAATAAAGAAAATACGGTACACATACATAGCAGAATGTTGGAGAAACTCAGCTGCTGTCCCTAAGACAAACAGTGCTTTGGGTGGTTATACTCTCTCTGCAATTAGAGCAATCTTCAGTGCAGGGGAAACCATTCCTGATTGGAGTATAAACTGAATTCAAATCATTTCCATTTGGAAAGCATAATGACACTTCTCCTGTGACATCGTCAAACATCCCCCAGGGAATGGTAGACTGGGGACATTCCATTTAGTCACCTTCTGCCTAATATTAGTGGAATTTATACGAGGCCCATGAGCTGGCAGAACATTAAGGCCTTAGCTTTTGACAACCACCATTGTCATGTCTTCCAAATGCTATAATAATGGCATTGGGTCACTTAGTAATTGAAATAGAAGACAAATATAATTAATTGCATAATTTCTAACTGTTCAGATTGAATTCCACTCAAATTACATCATTAAACTCATGAAAGGAATGAAGGTTTGAATTAAATCTCTGCCTTTGCTTGACTTGCATCTGATTCTTATGCCTAACGGTTGTATGTGGAACATGGATTTTCTGACTCATCACTTATCTGTGAGGAATATCTGTGGTCTGTAAATGTATGCATTTTACGTCTCTGCCCTAAAATATGCCTGGCATAGAACATGACACAAAGTAAATGCTGTGATGATTTGATAGATTAGGTATGAATGAATTGAATGAATAAAGGAAAACAGTACAGATATGTGTTTACTAGCAAACCATTTGCTCTCAATGACCCTCACAGGTAAGAGAAAACTGACCTGGCAGTGTGAGTAAGCATTGTGGTAAAGTGGAATGGACACTGATGCTGATAGACTCTGTTGGGGTCAATTTAATCACAAATCATCATGAGCCCAGTGTCCATAGACTGAGCATTTTAGAGATCTAAAAAATGTTTGAGAGTGGAAATAAATAATTCATTTGACCAGTCCTTTATTAATGGACATTAATTTTATTTCCAATCTATTTTTTTAGAAATGAGGCTGAAATGAATAGCACTGTATGTTGGTCATTGGGAAACCAGTATATAGATACCATATTGGATCCGTGGTTTTATGATTTTGTAATTTTCGATAACTATCATCAAATTGTCTTCCATGAGAGTTTATTAACTTATAATCCTATTAGCTCTATTTGAGGTTGTCTGTCCCTCTGTCCCCAGTCTTACCATCAGAGGGTGTTATCAAACTTTTGAATTTTTGCTAACCAGATAGATGGACTCTTTTTTGTTTGGTGGGGGGGGGGTGTTTACTGGGAATTGAACTCAGGGGCACTTGATCACTCAGCCATATCCCCAGCCCTAGTCGGTATTTTATTTAGAGATAGGGTCTCACTGAATTGCTTAGTGCCTTACTTTTACTGAGGCTAGCTTTGAACTTGTGATCCTCCTGCGTCAGCCAACTGAGCCACTGAGATTATAGGAGTGCACCACCAAGCCCACCGTAGTTGGACTCTTTATCCATAGTTGTATCATGGCGGAAGATACTATCCTTTAATTATTCACATTTTCGATTTACTGTTATAAAATGATTCTGAGGAAATGAATTATTTTATTTTAGAAAAATAAAAAAAGTTGTATTTATTGTTAATAAGTTCATGTATATACCTTGATGTTCCCAGAAGAATCTGAGAATATCTTTAAGAAAATAATAATACAATAAAAATAAAGAAACTGAATTATTGGGTCAAAAGGAAAAGTGAAAATGGGATGTTGATAAAGTCTTGATTACTACACAAATGCTTTTATCATTAGGTTGTAGATGGTTGCTGAAGGAATGATATACATGTGACTTTGAATTCCCTGGAAGCCAATATAAAGGTGGAAATATGGTTAGTTGTAAGAGTCACAGTGAATATAATATTAATAATGTCAAGTTTTCAGGAGAAACATAAATTTCCTTTTATTCAAATGTTCTTCCCCCTTTGCTATATGACCAATTTCTACCAATCCAAGACTCAACAAATCCTTCCTTGATTCATCAAGGTACTTTACTGTTTCTTTGCTCCTGCAGGTGTTTGGATGTTTGTACATCTCAGTTCTTCTAATAGTTGTTATGCTGAATTGAAGGTGTAGCTTATCAGTTAAACAAATGGACTTTGGAGTCATATGCCTGAGTTTAAATTCTGATTATGTCATTCAAGAACTGCCAGCCTTAGGCATTTCACATAACCCATCAGCATGTAAAAGGTGAAATAAATATCTATGTCACTTTCTAAGCTTCTGTTTCCTCTATTGTAAAAAGGGAATACTACTAAATACCGTTTCAAAAAGTCTGAAGTAAGGATTAGGTGAATTATGTGGGCAAAGTAGTTAATGTACTGACATTTCACATGGTAAGTGATTGTAAGTAATAGCTACAGCTGTTTTATGTCTATTATCCTAATAAGCTACTCAGCCTACTGGTTCTCTAGATTTTAACAAGAGAATACAACCTTTTATAGCCATGTGATATTCTGATTTGCCAATACATCTGAAATCCTAAATGGAGGAAATGTAAAAACTTTTGCTGGATCTCCGTTTCCATTCATGGCCCATCCTTGATATTGGTATTTCCATAGCTGTGGCTAGATGGCAACCCCTCCTATTTCAGGGGAGGTGAATCAGAACATTCCAAATGTCAGTTTTGCTCTCAGATGCAGACATGGAAGGAAGATCTTAGCAATCAGTGAATGTGTTTTTATAATGTAATATCAAACCCAGTATTTTAATGTTTCTTTTGCTATCATGACCCCCAAAATGTGATAAAAACAATTTTGAGGAAGAAAATTATTTGGGCTCATGGTTTCAGAGGTCTCAGTTCATAGACAGCTGACTCCATTGCTCTGGGCCTGAGGTGAGGCAGAACAACATGGTGGAAGGGTGTGGAGGAGTAAAGCAGCTAGGGACATGGCAACCAGGAAGCAGAGAAAGCACCACTCATCAGGGACAAAATATAAACCCCAAGGGCCTCCTATAACCCACCTCTTCTAGCCACTCCCCACCTGCCTACAGTTACCACCCAGTTAATCCATATCAGTGGATTAACGCACTGATTAGGTTAAAAATCTCATAATCATTTCATTCTGTACTTTTCTTACATTGTCTTACATAAGAGCTTTTGGGGGACACCTCATATCTAATCTACCCAGGTAGATTGGTTTGTCTATCATGCATAATCATTAATATCTGTGATGTCTCAGTATAATCAGTTATGATCAAATAGGAACTAAAGGATGCATAAATAAACTTATCAGTCAATTTCAAGTTTATTTTTAGTGATTTTAATTGAAATTCCAAACATAGAACATGAAGGAGCCTCCTAAAATTCCTATTGATCAAATGTCCTGAAATTTTCATGTATCAGACAAGATAAGCTAGGTTGTGCTTCAATAACAAACAATCCCAAAGCCTCAATGGCTTAATAAAACAGATGTTTATTTCTTGCTTCTTGCTTCTATTACATGCCCATGGTTTTTGTTTTGTTTTTGAGGGTGTGGGCATAGGTCTCTGCTCACTGTATTTACCAGGGGATTCAGACTGGCACTTGCTTTCCATGATTACCATGACTGAGAGGAAAAACAAAACAAACAAACAAAACAGGGTGAATGGCTTTTAATCCTTTGGACCAGAAGGAGCATTCATCACTGACATGTACATTTTCATTGGCCAAAGAAAGTCCAATGACTAACTATGGAATAAATGAGGTGATGTGCTTAGAAGAACACCTGTCATTTATTGAATGTTCTAAATGATAAACTATGGTCTAGCTAAATTGTAAGCTCCCTTAGATTTTCAAAGTCAAATGACTAACATTGAAAATATAAGGGAGCTTACAATTTAGCTATACCATAGTTTTTCATTCAGAACACCCAATAAATGACAGATATTCTTCTAAGCACATCACCTCATTTA